TCCTCCATCAGACCCTCTACCTGTAGCAGGGCCTCCTCCATCAGACCCTCTACCTGTAGCAGGACTTCCTCCATCAGACCCTCTACCTGTATCAGGGCTTCCTCCGTCAGACCTTCACACAGGGCCTCCTCTGTGAGACCACCATCTGTTATCAGGAATTCTTTACCATCAGCTCCTCAACAGCCCTGAAAGTGACACTGGTCTTTACTGATGGAGCAGAGTCACTGTGAGCGGTCATCCTCCATGTGGGGTGTTGCCAGACGTGGGGCAGCACCAATGTGGACAACTGCTTTGCCAGGTGCAGCTCCCCAGGGAGGGAGACAGCCCCTCCCACGGCCTGTCACCAGGCGGGAAGGGCAGCTGGGCCAGGTGACTCAGGTTTCCAGTCCCTTGACCATGCTGACAGACAGGTGGATGGAAACATCCACCCCCAGCCATGCTGCCCCTGGACCCTCACTCTGCTGATCTCTTACAACAGCGGCTGGACTGCTGGAGACATGGCCCAGAGATGAGCACAGGCCCCAGCCCCCGTCTCCCGGGAGGGCGTGTCCTGACCCTGCCCTGGTTCCAGGCCCCTCCTCCTGATCTGGAGAGCGGGCAGGGGTGGATCTGGGGCTCTCTCCTCTCAACTGGAGCCCGCCGGAGCCCAGCCCTGCTGGGACTGCAGCTTCTAGGACCCGTGGCCTCCTGGCTGCATGGGAAGCCCCGACGAGGAGGTGGGAGCAGGTGGAAGCCAGCGCAGTGCGGGGGCAGCTGTGTAGCCTCTGGATCCCAGCGTCCTCATGCTGAGCTCTGGGGCTGGGAAGAAACTGACCACCTACCAGTCACCAGATGCCCTCAGACAAGCGGCCCGATCAGGGTAAATGGCTCTTCCCAAAGGCAGAATGTCCCTTGCTGCTCCCCCCTTTTTACTGTCGGGGTCTCAGCAATCTACCTTTCTCCCATCAGCCCTCTCCACCTTAATTCCCCCTCCCCCCCCTGCTGATTTCTAATATAAGCCACACCTTCTGCAGGGCGGGCTGGGTTGGTAGGTCCGCAGGTCAGCTCTGGGCTCTGCCCGGTTGTGGGGAGGCTCCTTTACCTCTGTTTCCATGGGGGCTGCCTGTAGGCTCTGCTCCGTGCGGGCACACAGACCTGCCACCTTCCCCATGCTCTGCCCAGCAGTCTGTCTGTCGATGGGGCTCCATAGCTGCTAGCCAGCTCTCATGTGCCTGGAGCCGCAGTGCTGGGCTGCCTCCAGCGTGCCCACCCTGGGCCCCAGAGCAGGCGGCAGGAGCCGGGGAGTTTGTGGGCCTGGAAATGGGGGTGACGCCCGGCAGGCCTGCGGGCCACTCTCCGTGGTGCCTCCCCCACCTCACACTTTGCTGAGGTTTTGCTGTCCTAGGGACCTGCGCACGGCAGACGCCTCACACTCCGTGAAAACACTACAGACCCCATCAAGGGTAGCGCCCAGAGGTGATTCCTTTCCCTTAGCACCTCCTACTTGTTAGCCTCATGTATTTTGCACACATCTGGGAACTTTAGTGATTCTATTCGAAGGGACATTTGATTAATGGTTGACCAACTCAAGTGATTAAAAACCTAGTAAACAATCCTGTTAATTAAATTCCCTTCTGATTTGTTTATTTACTTAC